CTCCCACCAACCGAAATGTCATTATATAGTACTGGAAAATTAAATACACTGAGGACTCAATTCACCTTTTGTACATTTATAAAATGGAATTCAAACTCAAATGAAAAATAACTAACCTTTGTTTAAATTTGCATTAAGACAACTGAGTCTCAGAAGTACCCTCTTCAAATTCTGAAAGAATTACAAATATTTTAGCATCTTGAATTTGTTTTGAGGGAGCTGGTGGACCATAATGATGTTAGATATCTGGAGAGAGCATTATACAGGGCGCAGAACCAAGAGCCAGGGAAACAAGGGTATATTTCCAGGCCCTTGGGTTTATAGTCCTGAGTGTTATAAGTCACTCCTCCACTGTCCTATGTTCTAGTCTCTTACTGTGTAAAGGTTTTGGGGTGTTTTTTTAATTGTGTTTAAGTGTGACATAAGCTGTAATTTCTCCATACCAGACCACCACACACGCATCACACACACAGACTCCAAGCAAGTTAGCAGCTGTATTTTAAATTATAGTTTTTAAAAGTAATAGTTTTAATTTTCTTACTATTATACCAGACAAAGAATACAAGGTAATCACATGCATCTGTTTCTGCAGTCATTCTGTGTTATAATGGACCAGTGGGAAACAGATAATGCATTCAGAAGCTGAAAGGTCTCATGGTGATATCAGTAACTTCACACTCATCTCAACACCAAACAACACCTGCTTGAACTAACACTGTACTAGAAGAAACTGCATTTCCATAAAATGTGTCCAAACAGACAGGAATCCAAATCCTGCGATACTATCTAACACATCCAACAACTCTGGCCATGTATACCTCTACAGCCAGAACCAGATACTCCTCCTTTGCCTTAGGGTGAAAAAAAGCATTTTTCCTCAGTTAACTAGGATTAGGGAATTCACTGTTTCAAATAAAGGTTGTATCAGAGGTCAGATTAGTATTTGTTTTTAAGATGCTGTTTTTGTGCATTTCTTCTCCTCCTCATCTACTCCAGTCTCATCTCCTAGAGTAGGTGCTTCAACCAGAACCAGATTCCCATAAACTAAAGATGGTTTTTGCATCAAGGTGAGACATTGGAACAGGTTGCCCAGAGAAGCTGTGGCTGCCCCATCCCTGGCAGTGTTCAAGGCCAGGGTGGACACAGGGGCTTGGGGCAACCGGCTCTAGTGGAAGGTGTCCCTGCCTGTGGCAGGGGATTGGAGCTTTAAAGTCCCTTCCAACCCAAACCGCTCTAGGATTCTTTCTAGAATATGGTGTTTATGTAGGACTGACACTTTACAATCATTTTTTTTTCCATATTCCCCTTCTACGTGATAACACAGATTGAAAGGAACTAAGATGTCTGTTTCTCCCTGCACTGCATTGCTTATAACACCAAACCATTTAAAGAGTTATATCATAATCACCAGGTAAACATTATAAGCATTACAAAGCAAACAGCTCAGAAGCAGAATTTCATTCTGGTCCACCTGCATACCTCAAAAGTTTGTGATAAAAATGGCACCAAAACTTAGTCAGCTCTTTTTGTACCATACACTGTAAATGTATTCTAACTTTATCATGTGCTTAGAGTTAGTTATATTTTAGTTTTATATCAACAGCTTTCCCAGATTGTTTTATTCCAAGTTACTGCAGTAACCTAGAAGTTGTTTGTGCAATGCATCCAACAATGGTGTAGGTTACAGTGTGTATGACAGACAGCTGACTGACAGAAAAGGAATTTTAAATACCTGATCTCATGCCTGCTCTGCATGTCATATTTTTCTGCTTGAAGCTTATCAGCCAGCACCGCATGAAGGTCTGACTTCTCTAGTAGCTTGTTATCTGAAAGGGCAAAAACTACAAGTAAGAAGATAACCAAAAAGCAAAACCAGATTCCCACCCTCTTCTTCTACCAACCAAGATTTAGTATCTTTAATTATTTTGACACAACCCAAAGTTCTGCAAGCCATATTAGTGTGCGCTCCTCTGATGTCAGCAGGCTAAAGCCGCAGTCAGCTACAATGCCGAGAATTCCTCACTAATCCAGATGTGTGGGACTGGTCTTAGGAGACCACCCAAGTGTACTGCTATCTGCTAATACAGAAGTTCAAAGTACAAACTCTTTATAGCCCCTCCAATGATAACAAGGAAAAAAAACTGGTCACATTCAACACTGCACAGTCCTGCCAAGGCGTGTTTGCTTTCCCCACCATAACATGCAGCCCCTCAGCATGTAAGCCAGCAGCTATTAGGTGACCACCACTCCCATGCAGTCCTGTTACAGCTGAGGCAGGAGAGGGATGGGCAAGTATGTGCTGGATAGAAGGCGCTGGCCCTGAATAGCTCCAAATTTCGCAGAACACCATGAACACGGTCAATGGTGCTATTGTTCTCCATTCCACAAACATCTAAGTGGGAATGGTGCAGACAACTTAGACATTCAGCCACTGTCCACAGCACAAACCCCGTTTAGCCTATGAGGGAACTGAGAGAAACAACTACTTTTTTACCTCAGTAATGAAGAGCCCCGAACTTTCCTCAGCTTTACCAAACATGTCCCAACCAGTCTCCTGAAAACGACACACGCGGTGCCTTGGGGGCCCTTTACCAAGGCGCTTTTCCCACTTTCCGAGGAGAAGGAGAGAACCTCTCGGTCCCGACCCGGCCGGGGCAGCCGCCGCCCACTTACACTGCCCGATGA